AAACAGTAGATGAAACATATCTCCATCCACACAGCCGAGCAGTAGATGAAACATAACTCCATCCACACAGCCGAGCAGTAGATGAAACATAACTCCATCCACACAGCCGAGCAGTAGATGAAACATAACTCCATCCACACAGCCGAGCAATAGATGAAACATAACTCTATCCACACAGCCGAGCAATAGATGAAACATAACTCTATCCACACAGCCAAACAGTAGATGAAACGTAACTCTATCCACACAGCCGAGCAATAGATGAAACGTAACTCTATCCACAACAATAAGCTTTACTACTTAAGATGTCAAAAACACTCTTATAGATTCAAAGAGAAATTATTATTAAACAAATGCTTAAACAACTCTATTTATTCAATTATGTACAAGCTGCTCAGTGTCGGCTAACAATACGAATAATTAAATTGTGGTGGAATGCTAGAAGTTCTCCAAATACCAATAGAATGATAGGTTTCTTTTATGTGAGTGTAAAACACTTAAATACACCAGTTCGATTATTGAAACCATTTGAACTTTGTACTTTCAGGTTCAGTTTGTGTTTTAGTGAACACTCCTGAAGCTGTAAAGCGAAACATTGAGCATTTAGTGAAATAAAAACAACATTAATATTTCTAGTATTAATATGTCTTACATACACCAATATGCAGTCTAGAAATTAAATACACAGTAAGCTTCATAAAATTACTTGAGCACACTGTTCCATCAACACTCCCATGTGGAATGGTTTTAACACTTTGTTCCATCAGTACACTGTAAACCTTGTGGAAATACTTTTAACACTTTGTTCCATCAACATCCTGTAAACCTTGTGTAATTCAATAGATTTTATTCATCAAATGTGTCAAAGATGGAAAATCTGCTGCCCAAGGGAAAGTTATCATTATCCTAAACTGAAAATGTATTTCCAAACATACTTACCTCCGCTGATACTATTAACTATTTCTCAAACTTCATCTTTGCCATCTAACGTTGTGTTCGTTTGCTCCAGTCTTTATATACTCCACTCGACTGCCCTCGGCAATATCTAATTTGCAAAACTTTATGCTGGCCCTCTATGCAGGTACTCTATATAACCATTGTATGCAATCAATAAAATCACTGTTTCGAGACTTACCACATTCCAGACACTAATGCCAGCTCTTAGTGGGGAGGAAGGGAGAGTGTCAGCGGAGGTAAGTATGTTTGGAAATAAATTTGCAGTTTAGGAAAATGATAACTTCCAAAACATACATACCTCTGCTGACACTAATAGCTAGAATCCCACATTGAGAAGGAGGAAAAGCTAGTGAGGACAAAGATCATACAGAAAGTGTCTGTGGAGAACAAATATGTACCATGAGAAGTGGTATCAAAGTGAGGAACATGACACTACATCCAGAACAGGTATGCTCTTCACCCAAGACTACAAAAAATTGAAAAGGATGGAATATAATACAAGTATGATGGTCCAGCCCTAGCCAAACAGCCGAAATTAAACAACTCAGGTTGGATTTAAGAGGTCATGGCACCCATATCGTACATTGGTGGCCAGGGCAGTTGGACTGCAGATATATACATCTTTGTGATAGGATTCCTACCAGTAACCACAGAATGATGTGTTTCAAACCACTGGATTTATGAAAGAAAGAATGTAACACTAAAATGAACAATCCTTCTGATCAACCTGAAGAAGTCAAAAGGCAACACCCCAGGTCTGGATTGATGCGATCATATGCCATACTCCACCAACATCCAGAACCCATCCAGTCTGGATTTACAAACAGTTGTCTTTACTCCTCCACCAAGTGGGCAAGGAGAATTCCATTTACCAAGGACCAAAGATGGGACTGTGTCAAGTTCTAATTTACGAGGAGATAGTGGACCCCAACTTTGCCTGGAGAAAACTCAACACTCCAAAAATAAATCCTCTGTCCACCACCCCAGCAACTGGGTGTGGTAAGGACTCCCGAGCTCTATAGTGACACCCTCATGTAATTGTGTTACAAACCTCCCTGCATGCACAGCAATATCAGGAGGAGGAAGAAAAACTAAGTAATCCCCTTGAGAATGATTGGGTAACAAAGCAGGGTAGACTCAAAAGCAACTGGTTGCATTTCCAAAACCTCACAAACACATGTAACTAATGGCAGAAAGAGGGGCAGAAGGTGGCTGATCAGATGAGTCCTCAGGAGAGGAAGCTCTAGTGAAAGAAGGAACAGAAAACAAGGAGTCTAAATTTTCCCAATAATATCCCAGAGAGATACCCCTGGGTCACTTGAAGGGCTCGATCTCACCATGAATCAGGTCATGGAGAGTGCCCCCCCCCCCAACTGCTGACCACTACTAGATAACAAAGTGGGAACAGATGAAGGCTGAGTAGCCTCCATTCTTCATATCCAATTTTTTTCTTTTAAATATTTATTAGAAAACAAAAACTAAGAAAATGTAAATAACAAAGCATTAGTCTGAATGCTCGCGCTTGTCAAGAAAAAGTTATTTCATTGTCTGCATACAGTGCTTATATGCAGTACCCGCATAAAGGGCCAGCGTAAAGTTTTGCTAATTAGATATTGCTGAGGGCAGTTGAGTGGGGTATATAAAGACTGGAGCAAGTGAACACAATGTTAGGCCCGGCATGGCTAGGTGGTTAGGGCGCTCGACTCGTAATTTGAGGGTCGCGGGTTCGAATCCTCGTCACACCAAACATGCCAACTTCCATCAACTAAATCAGATCAGGGAATATGGGGGCGCCATCAGCAGATGATGGCACCCCCATAACTCGCAACTAAAAAAAACACAATGTTAGATGGCAAAGATGAAGATGAAGAAATAGCTGTTCAGTGTCAGCAGAGGTATGTATGTTTTGAAATCTATACTAAAGATATATACTGGGCTTGAAATGCAAGGTTAAATCACCTACTTCTGGCAGTAGAACAGTGATTTGATGGAATATCAGTTGATGTTAAATGTGTCGTTTGATAACAAACAATAATTTTGTTCCCCATATAAAAACATGTATGAGCAAGCTGTAAACATTTAATACACTGAATCAAAGGAGAAACGGATGAAGAACAATACACAGGTAAGTTACCTAGCATGTGCTGAATAGGAGTGGTCTATTTAGAGAGTTGGTCACTGTCTATATCACAATCTCTGGTTCATGTAAAAGAAAGAAAAGAAACCAAATTAAATTTTTAGCACTTTAATATACTTTTTTACCATTGTTTTATCAATCATGTCAAAAATATTAAATAAGCAATTTATTGAATTTCATATTCATTGTATTATATCCAAACATAAAAAGTTTTATGTAATTAACTATTTGTTTCTAGAGGGTTGGCTGGTTTGATTCAACAACCTAGATTTACTTTCAAGTTATTCATTTCCAAACGAAAGTCCAGTTTTTTATTGAGCATTACATCAACTGGGATGTTCTTTACCTGTGAAGAGTGTTCAATACAATGTAGTGATATTCAACTATACAAACAACATTTGGAAAGTGAGAAACATCGTAAAAAGCAACAAGATTTTGTTGACAGACAAGTATTAATAAAGGCTGCTGAAGAACATTATTCAACTTTTCAAGCAACTACTGTGGACAAGATGGATTGCTCATTGACTGGTGAATACTTTTGTGATACTTGTTCTAAAAGATTTAGTGGACCAGTTCCCTTTAAGCAGCACATGGTTAGTGAGAATCATGCAAAAAAGCTGAAGAAACAACATCTTTTAAGTGAGATTCAACCACTTTTCAAAACTGAAAACTCCCTTAGGTTATGTTCTCCAGGAGCCTGTAACGACATACAGTACAATAGACCTACCACGATGTTTGCTTGCACAATATGTGAAGTAAGATTTTCAGGCCCAGAATGTGCTGAACAGCATTTTCAAAGTCCTAAACATATGAAAACAATTAAAAAACTAGCTCTTGAAAAAGAAGTAAAATCATTTATGAATGTTCCCTTGGAGGAAGAAGCTGATAAAACAGTGAAGCAGGATGAAGATACCTCACAATTTTTATCCAACCAGCTAGGCAAACTGAATGTTGTTGAAACTGCTTGTACAAGAGCATCAACTTTGGAACATTTAGAAAAGCAAAACCAAGAAGCTGTAGTGACAAGTTCAACCAATGATACTGAAGATATTAAAAGTCAACTAAAATGTGAAGTTTGTGGTATTCCAAGTTTCCCTGACATCAAAGAAACACTCGCACATTATGAAAGTGAGGATCATATTTTGCTAAAGAAAATTATTTCATCACCATATCAGAATTTGCTTCTTAGTAATCAAGGTCATTTTGGAAATCCAAATCAATTTACAAATATTCAATCATCACTGGCCAAAGAGGACACAAAAGAGCATCTTTCTTATCTTTGTAACTCAGAAAGCAATTCACATGAAGGAATTTCAAAAGTTTGTGATACATTTGATTCTAATCCCTCTGCTCCACCAGAAAACATTATGAACAATAACTTAAAATCTTCTTATAACCTAAATATGAAAGCAGATAAAAAACTTAACATGTATAAATAAGTTCATGTACATTAATGGTGATCCTTAAGTTTTGAAAAATATTTTTCTCTTAATGATTAATCACTACATGATTATACAAGATCAAAATGAAGGGAAAATTGATTGCATATTAGTAGAATTAAAAAATTACAATTAAATTTTTCAAGTTGATTTTAAGGCTTGTTTTTTCTGTATTAAAGCAATCTTGTTCTAAAACATTTTTCAGGTTATTCTTATTGGAAGTATTCATTCATAAAAATATGTCATAGTTTTATACATAAGACTAGTAAATTATTGACCAGCAAGGAAACTGTGGCTAATGTTATGAAATGATATCAGAATGAGACTATACAGTCATTCAGATCTCTGGAAGAATAGTATTCTCTGAAACAAGTCTTACCCTACTGGAATGTTTAAAATCAAAGAACACCCAAAAATCAACCTAACACTTTCTTAGCTAAACTTGTGTCAAGTAAGAAAATAATAAAAAAATATAGAATTAAAAGTAAAGTGATTGCTACTTTTCTTTAGATACCTATTAAAGAAATTGGAATAGATCTAAAAATCACCAATTGCAACAGTGGTATTTTCCCACTTTACAAACTTTAAATCATGTCAGAATACATCAAATTATAAAACTTCAAGTGTCACCATTTGTTCACAATGGTAACAAATACACACTGACTTTAGTAACTAACTAATAAAAGTCTGTATGAAAAATGGAGTACTTTAATTTCTTTATAGGAATTACAGATCAATAATATAAATATGGCAGCTTAAATGTGTAAATTATTTTGCTATATGAATACACTATCTAATATAAAACATATAATTGCAGAAAATTTACATTCAAATTCATATGGCTTATATCAACGAAGGTCAAGTCTAGAAAAGACGGAAAAATTTCACACATTGAATACTGGTGCCATATATGATATACACCTACAATAGTTTCATTTTCCAAATTAGATATAACAAATTAAATTTGAAAAGTATTGAAGAGAACAATTAAGTTAAGAACATGAGTGTTTCAGTTTTCCATGTGTGTAATAAATGGGCAAGCACCCTTAGTGCTATTTGTTGGAGTTTCGACTATGCTGGCGATTACAGTATTTGAGGATTGTAGTGGCGAGTGGAGCTCACAAGTTGCTAACTCAAGGTAATTTACAGTTAGACTAAAGAAATGGGTTTCAAGACTAATATTGAACAATATATAACAGCTTTTATTAAACTTTTCCACACAGCATACAGTAATAGTCAAAAGTTTACCAATCATTAACTTTTCACAACTTTACTTTTAGTTAACATCATTGACCAGTACATGTAGAGTATGTTTCTCTAATATAAACATTAAATCCTTTTCTAAACTACATTAATTGAGCAGAAGAGATGACAATTTCTATACTTACAACAGAGTTGGACCAGTATACTTTTGGAGGTTGGAGAGCTTCATGTTCATAGTGGAGATAATCTTGACTGCTACTACCCCCTTGGAGATAGCTTCTGAGGATTTTTTTGTCAGTTCTGGGAGAACTGATTTTTAGCTCCAGACATGAGTTTTTAAACCATAGATTCTTTGTATTCCTTCTACCTTACAGTAGTATTCCTAACTACCTGCAAGTAGTTCTAACACTTTATTGGTCAATCTGTGCAACTGCTAAGGCTATTCCAAAACAAGAATCAATACTCACAAGTAATTGGTTGCTGTAATGGTGAGTGCATCAGTTGCCTTTTCACTTGTACTAACTACACTGGTCTGGAGTAAAATCTCTCACATCAAAGTGCTGATTTGAGATGTTATCAAACTTTTTAGTAGCCTTTACTACTAATTCGGCATAAGTAAATTATCACTGTCAAACTTATAGCTAGCATTTTTCTCAACATTTCTATTGTAGCTTCAATTTTTATAACTCTTGAGTCGTGATTCTCAGTATCACTTAACCAGCTAGTTGTACTTTCCTAGTCTTAACCTTATTTCGTAATACAGGTGTCTTTACTTATGCCATTTCTCCATGTATATGTTCAATTATAAACTCAGAGAATTGTTATAACTTCTTTCTTCAATTCACTTAAAATGCTAAAAATACTGAAGCAATTGTAAAATTCCATCAAAATATCCAATTGCTTCATGTGCAAGTTTATATTTCATATTCAAGTTAATAGTCGTTAATTTTATTAATAATAAGGAAAATGTTTACCATTCATAAGTTTTGAAACAATGTAGTCCTAAAGAAAAATTTAACTTTCCTCAAACATTTGTTTTCACTGTTTTTTGTATTTTGTTTTTTAAGTCTTCCATATCTTTTATCATTTTTGCCACAACCTTATTTAATTCCTTGAATCAGTTTGCATACTTCATTTTTACTTGTAGTAGTTGATCATAAATTTGTTTTGGGATAATATCATCATCAATGAAATGTGTTACATAACCGTGTATGTCTCAAATGGAAAATATATACAAAAGTATATATACTTTCCTAGCAGTAAATAAAATGGTAGTATTATCTTATGACTAACTAAAATGAAGAGCTTTGAATTGCTACTACTTTAACTGAAAGTATTTTAACCAAGCAAACTCATTATTTTGAATCTGCATTAAAAATACTGCAGAATAACACTATATGCAGTGAAAAATTTGAACATAACACAGTTAGTATAGTAAAACTTCATCTCTTGCCAACAAGATTTTACTCAGCTTTTGTTACTTTTAACGGACACATACGTTCGTGTATTGCCAGAACAATAACCCACTGTCAACATGACTTTGAAAAGTTCACTTTTCTTTGTGTATTGTGTCTGCTTGATCAATGCTGGTGTCTATTATTTTAGGAATATGCGACCTTTTTCCAGACTGCAGAACAATTTTAGTATCTTCATCTGTTTTTGAAATAAATAAATTTAAAATACATGAAAATCCTGTAATCATTAGTCACATATATACAGAGAGAGAGAGATGTAAAGGAAATTGCTTGTTTCTAAGTTATATTTTTCTTTCTACCTATATAAAATAACTTATTTCCACGCACTTGACATGAAATATTTTGTCAAAATGTGAAACTGAATTATGGTATGCACATATCCACAAAATGCATTGAATATTTCCTATGAAAAGCTAGATATTCATTAAGATGTAAGTGCATTTGTCATTTACCACTTAAAATTAAAAACATAACTATGAATGTTCAATGTACTACAAAAAAAATTAGCAACTGTGGACAAGTACTATTTGTTTGGTTTGTTTTGAATTTTCCGCAAAGCTACATGAGGGGTGTCTGCACTAGCAATCCCTAATTTAGCAGTTAACGACTAGAGGGAAGGCAGCTAGTCATCACCACCCATCATCAAGTCTTTTACCAGTGCATAGTGGGATTGACTCACATTATAATGCCCTCTCGGCTGAAAGGGTAAGCATATTCGGTGGGTTGGGTGTTCAAACCCGTGACCCTCAGATTGTGAGTAGTACTATTAGTAGTATTGTGAAACTTAAAAAAAAAGCTTATCCCAAACGTATTTGTTATGAGGAGAATTTGCCTTTTGAAATAGATTGGTTGAGGTCCATCTTCATTCCATAGCACCCGATACAATTTTTGAGAATAAAAATTCCTCGTATTTTTAGGCATAAAGTTTTTAATGTGGTCCATTGGCACCACTATGAACATTATCATCAGAATACTGTAATTATGCAAACACTGTAATTTATATATGCACCAATGAAAATATTTAACAAACTAAACTCCCAACAACCTCTTACTCCATAATGCTAAACAAAGCAACAGATTCAATCGATGAAAATCAAAGTTTAATAGTGAATAACAAAATGACGACATCAACAACGAACATTAGACGTGTGTCTGCAGTAACAAACATTTAATTCTTGAATGTTTTGGAATATACATATTCCATCTTCAGCAAGCTATATTAAACAGGGTAGATTATTAGGTACAAATATTTATAAAGTTTAAACATTTTATAAAAAGTAATTAAAATACAGAATAAAAGGATGAAATAAATTAAAAGACAACTAAATAAACAAAGAATAGGATAATGCAACAATATTATACAAGTATTCAGAACAGACTTAATTGTAGTGAAGTTGGGTTGTTATTTAAAGTTGGGAGTTCATTTATTATATTTGCATGTACGATATTAGGTTGCTGGACCTTGCACTATTTTGTTAGTCTCTGAATTGTTCAGTGATATGTCCCTTATCTTGATTGAGATTTTATTTTCAAAGTATCTGTAAAATAAATTTAATAGTTACCTCATTCTCAGGTCATGTCCTTTAATGAGCTAATATCAACTTTATTACACAATCACATGCCTAATCTCTAAATTATTCTCACATCTTAAGTTACCCTATTCTCAGGTCATGTCCTTTAATGAGCTAATAACAACTTTATTACACAATCACATGCCTAATCTCTAAATTATTCTCACATCTTAAGTCCAGTGTTTACAGTAAAGTTCCTTGAGGTAATATCAAAATCCAATTAAGTTTATTTTTGTTACACATAAAAAAAACATTTCAAAGTTAAAGTTATATAGATATGAATTCAGTTTAGCCTAGTACTGAGTGACCTTTTTCTTTAAAGATTCTATTATATTTAGTGGGCAGGGATACTTAGGTCTAGGTCCATCAGGTATGATGTAGCTATTTATACATAAAACTTTCATAGTCAGAAGGAGTACTTCGTTTCATATTATATGTGTTTTTGGTTACAAAGTATTTATTTCTGCAATTTAATAGTAAATATTTTGTAAGCCAGAAAGAATGATTTAATTAATGCCATTTAACTTGACACAATTTTTGATTTGCTTGTATCATGGATATCAGATGTTTAGCTGGGAGGTTAACCTTTAAGAGACTGATATCCAGTCCTTGGTGAACGTGTTACCGATTTCACCTGCTTGTGCCAGTTATGCCAGAGCTCAGCATCAGAACCTATGTGCCATTTTGGCATGGGAAGGACTTGACCTTGACAAGTTGAAACAAAAATATATATATTTAACAAGAAAGAATTATACAAATGATGATATAGAAAACAGAATTTGAAGAAATTATCAATTTAAACAATTTTTTTGCATCAGTCAAGTTACATCAATTGCTATCAACTCAAAACATTTTCTGTATGATATCAGTTTACATTGTTTTGGTTCAAGATATTGTTTTTCTCATTCAATACCAATATTTATCACGAATATGAAAATAATATTTTAAGTATATTGGTTTAAAATATAAATTCATAACAAAGGTTATGCACATTTTAGTTTAATTGTTTAACCATGGAAGATCTCCAAGCTTCGGTCATAAACATGACAGGTGGATAACACTGTTAGGGGAATGAATATTGCTGCAAGTTTCCTACTTTACATCACAGTTTAACATAAAATTCTCAAAATATATGATCCTTGAAAACTGTTACATGCTTCAAAAATGTTTTGCCTGATGGAATGTTTTAACCATATTATACTCTTCTGAAATAAACAAGTTTTACATGA